TTGGTCTTTTTGAGACAGGGTCTCCCTATAGCCCCAGCTGTCCTGGAACTCACTATGTAGACCAGGCTGGCCTTGAACTCACAGAGATCCGCCTGCCTCTGCCTCCCAAGTTCCTTCAGGTTTTTTATAGCTTTGTTCTTTAGCATCTAGTTTGATTCTCTTGGTTGAATGGCCTGCCTCAGATAGTCAACTTGGATTCTGTTGCTTACAACCCAAAGACCTAATCCATGCATATCTCCAAAGAACAATTAATCCAGATTATGTTTTTATCTCCTACAATCTATGATTCCAGTAATTTCACATTACATAAATTATAGATGGCATCTAAGTTAAGATTCAGAAGAAAGAGGAAAACTCAAAAGCTATGGAAAGAGGAGATTTAAACTTGTGTGGTAGATTAAGTTATATGTTCACCCTGTCTTTTCCATCTCAATGAGAGAAGTAGGCTTCTCTGGCTATTCCTGCTGACCTTGACCACAGGATGTGCTTTGCGGTTGACCTTGACCATGGGATGTGCTTTGCGTTGACCTTGTACTTTTGGCCATCAGATTGTGGAGTGAGAATGTGTCAGTTTTGTGGTTTTTTATTTTTTAATTAATTTTGTTTTCCTTTGCTTCTGAAATGTACTATTTTATAGACCAGGCTGGCCAAGAACTCACTCTCTAACCCAGGATAACCTCAAACTTTCAGCAATTCTCCTGCCCCGGTCTCCCAAGTGGCAGTATTATAGACATGACCTAGCATGTCCAGTGTGTGCTAGTTCTGAATCTAGGTCTTGAGTCCTCTTTTCTCCCCTCACTCACATGACTCCATAGAAGCTCTCACTCTCTCCCAGAGAACATATCTGGGAAAGAATGAGAATGCAGTAGAGCAGATCTGGGCCCTGCTTCCCGTCTGAAGCTGGGCTCAGTTGAGAAAAGCTGTGATTGTGTTTCCCAAAGACTCATGTGTCAGCACTTTGTCATGAGCCAGTGGTACCATTAGAAAGTAGTGAAACCTTTAAGGGACAGGAGCTAGGTGGAGGAAGTTAGGTCACTCGGGGTGTGTTCTTAAAGGGGCATTGGGACATCAGCCCCTTCCTCTTTGTTTCCTGGATGCAATGAACTGAGCTACTTCTTCCACTAGCTCTTGCCATAAGCAACAGCACTAACTGACCATGAACTGAAGTTTTCAAAGCCATGAGCCAGAATAATCCTTTCTTCTTAAGTTGATTTGTTTCCAGTTACAGCTCCTAGACAAAGCGTAGATGTATGAGTGAAGAACAAATGCTTGCTATGAGAATCTCAGTGTTTTCTTTGTTACGTAGCATTCTGAGCAGAGCTGAGTGATACAGATTGGTTGGGATCTCCTTTCACTTGAAGTCTAACTAGGTTCAGTCATGATGCCTGGGCAGAGGTGAGGAGATGCCTACCTGCCACTCTGACCTGGGTGGAGGTGCAGGCTTTGCATGGGAGGACCTGGAACTCTTCTGCCTGGTACATGGAGTAGTCAGTGCTAGCGACGACCAGGGTGTCTCCAGGCCTCCATGACTGCACGTTGTCCACCAGATTCAGGATGCTGCTGTTCACATTGGTGTCAATACTGACTGTGAGCTTGGGCCTCACTGTAACCCAAAACAGGAAGGACTGAGATACAGCTCATCACCCTCAGCAGACGTACAACTACTCACCTCTTCCCCTCCCTGCTTGGAATACATAAACGCCAGGTGTGCCCTTCCAAAACCCAAATCACCAGGCTCACTCCATCCCAGTCTCAGTACTTACAGGTTTTTGAAGTCAACAAAAACCCAACCAAAAAAGACCCATTCATTAGGTCTGGGTAGAGGAATTTTCCACTGACTTCTTAGCTGGAGTGCAATATGCTACCTCACCACACCCACTTTGCCCAAGATGTAAAACAAATATAGTCCCTCTCCACTGTTATTTACAGTAGCCATAAGCCCCACCTCCACCCTGACCCTCCCTAATGATTGCCTTCTGGAGATGCTGCTTCCAGAACAAACCAGCTATTTCCAGTCCCTTCTAAGAGGGACGGCCTAGGGAACTGGGTTTGAAATAACAGCACCCAGAGAGGCAGTCTGTGTCAGCTCTGTCCATCATCACTCTCATACTTTTGGACCAGTTCTGTCCCTTCCAGAAAGGCTTGTGGTAGGGTGGGGCAGTGCTGCCAGCTGCCAACTCCAGGGACCCTCCAGCTGCTCCTGTATTTGTGCTGTGGTCATGCAATTGGGGATTACTACGTCACTGTGATGTGCCATCCACCCAGCCATCCAAATTCACTACGCAAAGCAGCTGGGCCAGGAAACAGAGCAGAATTGCATTTCTACCCCTTACAAGGGGCCGGGATCTGCTTGCTCACCAGGTTTCCCGCAGAGGAACCGCACACGGTAGCTGTGGCAGGCTCGGCCCCGGGCGTAGCAAGCAAACCTGTAATCTTGGCCATTTTTGTAGACAACCTCAGTGCTGAGGGTGACTCCATCCATTGTTGTGGCCTGAGAATGGCATGCAAATTACAGAGCAAGGTCACTTTTTTTTGTAATAAGGAGGGAAAGTGATGATTAATGTCCTTAACTTATATTTACAAGTCTAAAATTGTCCCCCGCTACAAAAGTATTCACAATGGCCTGAGACTGTGAATTTTGTTCTGAGAGAGACAGTGTTAAGTCTTGGAATGGAAGTGCTGTGGCCTGATTGGTGGGGGGGAGAGAGAGAGAGAGAGAGAGAGAGAGAGAGAGAGAGAGAGGAGAGGGGAGAGAGAGAAAGGAGAGAGAGCATGCTAGAGGGTCTGTGAGCTAACGGGAGGCACACCCTGCCTGGGTCCTACAATACTTACTGCTCATCACTGTGTGGATATTTAAGGAACATACACAGGCTCCCTTGAGACACAGGTCTGCCCCTTCTTAAGACTACCCACCACCACCAGTCCATGATTGGGGTGGGCTGACATTTATTTAGTGAGAACTCACCCTGTGCCCCCATAGGTGCTCAGACTTCAAACTCCCTGTGCCCAGGCTTTATCTTTGGAGGGTAAGACTTGATGGATTTGGGCTGTAACCTGGACTTCAAGACTTTAAAAGCTGCCCCAGTGATTCCTAACAGGTAGGAAAATTTGGGGCCCACTCTCTCAGTGACAAAACTAAGTGTTTACATGTATTTATTATATGTATTTAGAAACTGAATAATGCCCACCATCACAAAGCCAATAAGTGCTAATCAAAATTGGAACCCAGACTTTTATAGCTTGGAAGCCCCTCTCACTCCTTCCCGCTGGGCAAGCAGCCTTAAATGCCTGTGTTCAAATCTCTTGCCCTCCTTTCCCACACTGCATATGGACTCTGGGAAGGCAAGAGGCAAGTTTTATGCATGGGCCTGGTAGACAGCCAGGTTGCAGCTGACAGGGGTTGGGGGGCGGCTGCCTTGCAGGGAGCTACAAAGGCAGGAGAGAGTTTAGGATCAGGCTCAGAGGAGAGCGGATCCCTGCCAGCTGGAGCTCATCCCAAAGCCAGGGTGTGTCCCCTGCAGACTGTGACTGTCATTCACAGACATGCAATTTAGAAAAAGGACTGCAGCTGTGGCCATCTTTGGCGAAGAAACCAAGGGGACAAGCCTAGAGAGGGGGAGAGGTACCACCCACCAGAAAGAGAAAGAGAGGAGAGAGGGAGGGAGGGAGGGAGAGAGAGAGAGAGAGAGAGAGAGAGAGAGAGAGAGAGAGAGAAAGAGACTTTTTAGGAAAGATTGTTTGAACACTACAAAGCCAGCTACTTTAGTCTTTGGATTGAAAGGAGATTCTTGCACACATACACAGCTAAACTTCTACTAAAATTTAGCCCTTTCCCATAAATCACACTCACTACTGTGATTGCAGTGGTCTCTGTTGAGGTTCAAGTGCAGAATCTGCCCTGAGGAGATATGCCACCCTAAACCTTGCACTCTGGGCACCTCACTGGATATGACAGCCTAAGCTTTCAGTGACGCAGAGGGGTCTCCTTTGGCTAACTCACACCTCTCTGGCTTCTTAGAGGCACTTACCTGGCCATCAGCTCAGCCCCTAAGTACTGTGTCAGCTACTGTAAGGGTATTTTCACCCTGGGGATAGGGTAATGTGCTAGTCTTGTCTCTTTCTTCCCCACCCACCTCCTTTAGTACTCTGGAGGTCACAGATGTCCATCTCATCCTGTCCCCACAGAACCTGACTGCATCCATATATTACAGGTGTCCCAGCGAGAGCCAGTACGTGTCAGATCCCAGGCACTGGGGGTGGTACAGCCATGAAGAGGGGTAAGAGAGAGCCCTGAGCTCTGGGGAGTTGAAAGGTCTGGGGAAGTACAGCAAACTGAATTCCTGAGGGGCACAGAGGAGGTTCTTCATTTCCTTCTCACTGGTGGGAGAGTTAAGGAGGGCTCAGCTCCTGGCTGGGCGCTTGGCACTGTTCTGACAGCATAGCATCCCCTGCCTTCACTCCTGTGAGCGTACAGCGAGGCTGCTACCCTCTGGAGCCTTGGGAACCTCACACAGGAGTGCATCCTGCCTGGTCAATTTTCCCTCTCAGGAATGTTAAGAAATGCTCTGGTTCAACCTGCAGGTCACTATTGACAGGGAGATGTCAGGTGCTCCTGGTTTACCTGGGGGCAGCATTTCCTCCGTGCTAGAGATGGAGGCTGGACTTCATTTTTTGGAGGCATGGGACTTAAGTGATTTTAGTCGACTGCCTCCAAGGACCTTGAATTTGCCAAGAAAAAGCCAAGCCCCTATTCTAGAATTGAGAGTTTTGAACGAATGAAGAACTACAATGCTCAACAAAGTATTTTCAATGAGTGCTCTCAGTGCCAAAGGTAGGTCCAAGTCTCAGGGCAAGAGAGGACAATGTTATTGGGGCTTTTGCTCTCCTCTGGACCTCAGACTGAGAACTTGAACTGAGGCTTTGTGGTCACAGCTGTTCCTTTTGATTTTTTTGTTTTGGTCTTTTTGAGATAGGGTCTCCCTGCAGCCCCAGCTGACCTGAAACTCATTATGCTGGCTGGCCTGCCTTTGCCTCCCAAGTGCTAAGATTAAAGGTGTGGACTATAACACCCAGCAAGGCTATTCCTTTTGTTGAAGGAAACAGGCTCTGTGTCTGGCTGCAGCCATGTGGTGATATGGTGTGTGTGGGTCCCTCTGGAGGGTCCTGGCTTACGATCTCTCCAATGGTTTTAACTGTGCTTTGCATACTTGGGGCAGGGCTGTGTCCATTATGGAAGCAGAATAAATGAAAACTGGGAAATGCTTCAGGAGAATTGAATTTCCTGGCATAGAGGGGCATCCTTTTAATCAGCAATAATCTGGAGCCAGGTGGTAAGCAAACAGTAAGAGGGACTTGTAAGCTGTATAGCATTCCATGAGGCCTTTCCAGGGTTACGTGAAGAAAGCAGGCTGGTAAAGAACTTAACTTCCTATGGTCTAGTGAACTGAAGAGATGAGGTGATGGCTATTTTGCAATTAAAGCTAGAATGTTCAAGGTTGCAGAAAATGACAATTAAATCTGGAGCAGTCGGTAGTTTTGGATTCTATTTGACCTAGCAAGAGTCTGCAGCTTCCAGTCTTATCTGGGTAAATCTTTCCAATAACATAGAAGCAGCGGGAAGGAAAGAGCCTTGGCCAAATAATGAGAGAAGCATCCCAGCCTTCAGTGAGCACAAGGCAGGCTATCTTCCCTAGACGTGCATGACTCTGGTGCAGACAGAGGCCAGAGCTCAGCCAGGAACAGTCAGTCAACCCAGTCAGATGACCCAGGAGGAAATGCTATACTCTTGCCAGACACAATGATTGGTCTTTGATATCCACATGGGATCAGTGCCAGGATCCTGAGGATACTCAAATCTGCCCCTGATAAAGCCTAATGTGGAGGTTAAGCTCTACCTCCAGGTAGAATAACTCTCAGTGAAGCTCTGTGTGTGAGTTGAATACCGGCTTTTATACAGCTTAGTAGAAAACATGGCCATGGGAATGTTCTTCCTCTGGGCTAGGCTTGGCCGGCCCCCCAAATCCTAGCTGCCCTCTGTGCACTCAAGGGGCAAAAGGACATGAATTGAGAAGCAAGCTGGGCAGGCAGATCCCAACCCTGCAGCTGGAGTCCCCTGAGCCATGCTGAAGAAGCAGATGGACCAAAAGAAGGAACTCTGAAGCAGGAGCCAGAGAGAATTCAAGTCTTAGTTTTAGACAGATAAGGGTGGCATGCCTCCTCAGAGCAGGCTCTATACTTGAACTCACCTCAGGGTGAGTGTCCCTTTGGTCTCTCAGGTGAGAATGGAACAATCTAGCTAACCTGGCTCAGGAACATGAGGAAAGTCACGTTGCCCAAGTAACAAGAAAAATCTGTGATCCAGAGAGCCTTCTTTAAAACAAAGCCTTCCTGACAGCTTGCCTGCTATGAACTGTCTGGTGTAGGAGGACAGTACCTGTATGTCAATGGGACGGTTGCAGATCTTTCCTGGGTAAGCTACCCGGAGGTCTGAAATCTTCTCTCCACCTTTGCCCTGAGGCACCTTATCATGTTCAAACCACTCAGTCCACTCCACATCTAGGCAGAAAGCAAAGGCAGATAGGAAGTTGTTCCTGAAGTCTGGTCACATGAAGCGTGGTTCTCAGGCACCCTTGACACAGCAGGCTTGGATGCCACCTGTCCGTAGTTGGGTTGAGGCCAGGGGGCTTTCTAAACCATCTGCCAATCTCTCATTTCTGTGGTTACAAACCCCTCTTATTGACTTCTTTCATAAGGGCCATATAGATCCCTTGTTATTACAAAAGCAATGTGCTAAGTGGAGAGAAATAAAAGCCCATCCACCCATAAACCCAAGATGGCTTGAAGGCCAGGTTCTAGTTCAGCCTCTGTGTGCTTCCTGACTGACACCATTACCAGGCACATAAAATATACTCTCCAAACAAACTAAACACCACAAGTACCTGTGGAGATGACACTACAATCTTGACCACTAGTGAGATCTTTCAGGCAACTTGTCAATGTGGCATGATTAATCAAAGACAGCTTCAGGTGCAAATTCTTAGTTGATGCTTCAAAGGTGAAGTGCTTCTACCAGTGTAAGAGAAATCCTTCCCTATCTTGGCCTCCGTTGCTGCTGTCAAGGTTTACAAACCTGTCTTAAAATCCTCACCTTGAACCCACTCACTGGACGAAGAAACATTGAAATATTCTCCATGCTCTGTCTGGAATAACTTGAAAACCTGGGCTGCAGCAGAGCCTCGGTGACCTGTCAGAGAGACCAGAGACCTAAAGCAGACAGACAGCCAGCTCAGAAATGAGGCTGGGATTCCAGCAACAAGAAAACTCCTATATCTGTGGGACTTTTTGTTTTGTTTTCATTTGGTTTGGGTGTTTTGAGGTTTTTTGAGACAGAGACTCAGGTAACCCAGGCTGTCCTGGAACTATGTAGCCAAGGATAACCTTGAACCCATCCTCCTGTCTCTACCTTCCATGTGTTGGGATTGCAAGTGTACACCATGTCCAGTTCACCAATGGACTTTTTAAAATTCATGAATCTTGAGTCATTTCATTAAGAAAAATAATTCTTCCTCATCAGACCATTCTTTCCAAGTGGAAAGAGATTCCATCCATGCTTTTGTTTCAGTGGTGAAAGTTGCAACCTTCCAACAAATGGAGGTTTGAGAGCTTGCTGTTCGTCATGGTCTGAGTTCTTTCCCAGGGTCAGAACCAGCAGCACCTACCCCAACTATCACAGGACAAAGAAACTACATTGTACAGAAGGACCCTCTATGGGGCTGAGGGTGTATGTAGTTTGGTTGGTAGAGTGCTTGGCCTACTAACACAAACTAGGTTTATCCCCACAAACTGGTCATAGAGGTACACACAAGTGATCTCAGTACACAGGAGCTGGAGGTAGGAAGTTCAGAAGTTCAAGGTCATTCTTTGTTCCATATTAAGCTTGAGATCAGCCTGGGCTTCAAGATGAGAGAGAGACTTTCTATGGTCTCTAGTCCTAAATATTCCCCTGCAGACTCCCTCCCAGCTCTTAGCTTTTCTTTGCCACCATTACACATCAGAGCAAGTCAGTAAAGACTTCTATGAAAATGTTAATGTCATGTTAGAAATCCACTTTCCACCAGCATGGACTTTTGTCACTGCCCCATGAGGTAGTCAGTGAAACAGCTGGATGCACAGCTGGGGGCTAGCAGATTAACAGCTGTGCTCTGGGAGCCGCTAGTCACTCAGCACAACCCACAGCCTCTGGTCAAGAGATCCTGGAGGGAACCCAACCTCTCACCATCCATTCATTACCATGATATTCAATATGATCTTCAACTGAAGAGGAGGGATTTCCTTTCACAGTGATGAAACTCCAGGGGTGTCTGAAAAAAAATCAACAGAAAGTAGTTTTTCACACATTAGAGCCATACTGGGGCAGAGTGGAGACAGAGTCGCAGAGCTGAGTCTTCCCAGCTGCTGGGGGAATTCACCGTCTGCCCAAAGCCTTCCTTTCCAAAAAACAAGAGCCTTTCTTTGCAAGCTCAGGTTTGCCTTCCTCACCAACCAGCTACCCTGGCGTCTGTTCATTGGAGCCAGTTCAACTCCATGTTGTCAGAGGATGGCCATGAATCACAAATAAACAAACATGCCAACAGCCCAACCATGCCAAGCCCAATTAGGTCCTGAAGCAAGTGTCAGGAAGGTTTTCCAAGGGAGAGGGTAATTCCTCTCTCGCCCATCTCCCCTCAGAGGTGAGCTCAAGGAAAATGTTAAATATTAATGTGACTGGCCAGCCAGCCACCTGCCTGGTGCCTTGGAAAGGAATGAAAAATGTCTGCCTGGTGATGGGGACAGTAGGAGAGAAAGGTTTATGATTTGGGAAAGTCTGTGAATGTGTGCACTGCCGGGTGAAGGAAGCTGGCTTTCTTACTGTGTTATCCTCCCCATCAGACCTAATGCAGCAATTGGGGGTCAGGACCCCCATCCCCAAATATGACACCAAGGAATGTCAAATATTTACCTATACTGAAGGGATCTGAGACAGGCAGGAATGGCTCTCTGACCCTCCCCAACCCTTTTTCCCTGAAGTAGATCAGAATACTCCCACCCCCATGTAAGAAATGCCCTTTGTAGAGCTGAAGGAAGAGGGACTCTAGGAAGAACCCCAAACTTTTCTTATCACATTTCACGATGACTTGCCCCACTTCATGAAAGTGTACAAAAACACTCAGGTTGATGCCAGGCGAGGTGGCACATGCCTTTAATCCCAGAATTCTGGAGGCAGAGGCAGGCAGATCTCTGTGAGATTGAGGCCAGCCTTGTCTATATAGCTGGGGCTATAGGGAGACCCTGTCTCAAAAACAGAAAAGCAAAAAGCAAAATATTCTCAGGTTGAATGATTTTTTTTTTTTCTTATGGCCTCCATTTCCTTAGGAAGGTCCTGTGTTGTGTAAAACTTAGTATAAACAGGGGCTGGAGAGGACAGTTCAGTGCCTCTTGCAGAGGCCTCAGGATCCAAGCAAAATATTCTCAGGTTGAATGATTTTTTTTTTCTTATGGCCTCCATTTCCTTAGGAAGGTCCTGTGTTGTGTAAAACTTAGTATAAACAGGGGCTGGAGAGGACAGTTCAGTGCCTCTTGCAGAGGCCTCAGGATCCATTTCTAGTACCCACATGGAGGTTAACCACCGTTCATAACTTTAGTTCCAGGGGATTTGACGCCCTTTCTGGCTTCTTTGGATATTGCACACATGTGGTACACTTACATACAAGCAGGTAAAACATTCATACACATAAAATAAAAATAAATAAAAATTTTTAATTCATAAAAAATACTTAGTATAGCCCGGCGTAGTAGCACAAACCTTTAATCCCAGCACTCAGGAGGCAGAGGCAGGCGGATCTCTGTGAGTTCAAGGCCAGCCTGGTCTACATAGTGAGTTCCAGGACAGCTGGAGCTACAGGGAGACCCTGTCTCAAAAAGACCAAAAAAAAAAAAAAAAAAAAAAAACCTTAGTATACAGAATTCTGCCTGCCTTTCTTCTGGGAACCAGTCTCTTTTCATGAAGACTCTCATAGCCCCTAAGTGTAGAAAGGCAGAAGAGACTGTTTCACCTTCTGCATTAAGTACCTCTCTCTTACTATGACCCAGCAAAGTTGGGGTGCTGAGTACCTTCTGCTTGTAGCTCTGATCTTGGAAAGTCTTTCCACGGTTCCCCATCACCCTTGGAGCAAAAGCCAAGCTCCTCAGCACAGAGCCACAGCCCCTCCAATGCCCACCTTGCAGTCTTATCTCTTCTACCCTTCAAGCCTCTCATATGTAATGCTGCTGCTTAGTCATGCCCCACTTCTCAGGAAAGCCATGATCTGCCCTACCTCTCTAGAGCTGCTGGTCTTTCGGCATTGCCACTGCAGCATGGCCTCCTCCCCAGCTGTGATCCTGTACTCGGCTCCACTTGCCCCCTGTCTTGCTCTCTCATGCTCTATTACCAGCTGCCATTCATCTCCACCTGCTCAGCAGACCCAGCCTAGTGCATCCCACCCATGTCTCTTCAATAACTATTTTCTGAATAACTGTTTCCTGAAGGCTCCAAATCTTGGTGCTTCTATGATTTGAGATCTTAATCACTGGAACATACAAAGGAAGGGTGACTATGTAATTCCTGCCTGCAGTGGCCAGGATGAAATAGGGAGACACCCATTCTTCCAGTGGCTATTGCTTATAAGGAAAGAACAGTCACTAACTGTGTCAGGCAGAGTGACAACTTCATTACTCATGTCACCCCATAGAACCCCTCCCAGAACACTTTCGAGATAGCTTCTGAGATACCCCATATTACAGATGCAGAATTATACAGAAAGATTGAATCACTTGCCTCTGGTCACAGTGGCAGTGTAGAACAGACTCAAAGCCAGGCATTAGAAGCCAGACCTGGAACCCTGAGCTACCACACTCTCTTTCTTCTGAGGCCCTTAAGTAGCCAGTCCCTTTGCAGTTCTGTCTCTCATTATAAATGAATAAGCGGGCTTCTGGGTTTATAAATCAGTAGAATGAAAGTGTGCCTGGTGTTTGTTGACAAAGGAGCTCTGCGAGGCCAAGATATCATTGTCATCTTTGGCTGCTTGAGTTTCCTGCCCCAGTTTCCCTTCTAGAAACAGTTGCCAGAGAATACAATCTGGGATCTCAGGTGTTCCCTTCTTGCCCAGGGAATCTCTGTCTGGCAAGTTAAATTGCTTTGCATTGAGGCTAGAAAAGGTTCTGTCCAGCCCTGAGCTTGCCTACATTTGGGGAGCTGAAGGATAAATATCAAAATTGCCATGGGATAAGTGAGCTTAACTTTCCCTAAGGTGAGAGTTGGTTTACAGGATCAAAATGTTGTTGCCATGTGCCAAATGATTTCCTCCAGTTACCAATGAGTACACATATCATCATCAGGCATGATGCTACTATCCAAAGCAACCAGAACATATACTGGGACCTATCAAAGGGTTCCCTTTCCTTGGGTATTTGGCTAGGTTAAGATACATTGCACAATCCCTAAAATCTCTCTGCCAATCCCTAAGGCATGGTATGAACCTGACACTAAAGAAAGGGTGAATAAAGCTTAGCTACATGTCAGAGTCATGGCTCTTACTGCCTCTCACATGCAGGACACACTCAGTGTTTTATAAGTGGCTGACTGAACAGGTAAGTCCATATAGAAACCTGTGCATTGCAATAGTGGGCTGTGCCTATAAGGAAAGCCAGGCTCCCTCTGAACAGAAGCCCTAACTTTGTCCAGTGCAGATGAGCAAGGTGCCTGCATGCCCGTGTTGTCATTTAGAGTTATGTGGCCCTGGAGACATATGCTCAGGGTGGTATGGAATGCTTTGGTATTTCAGGGTTGAGTGGAGGTGGATGTGATAGGCAGTACCTAAATCCAAGGTGTAGGAAGTGCTTGCTGCCCAGTTTGGTCATTGCTTTCCGGGCTGTATCATCCAGGTTTCTAGAACCTTCATCATTCACTGCGACAGAAAGGATCCTGCCGTCAGGTACTGCATTCAGATACTGGACCAGACGTTCACTCTCTTTCTTGGATCTGTAGGTGTCAAACCTAAAAAGGGTAGAGAGAGAAAAGATATGGATAATTTTGACAATGATCTGAACAAGTGAGATGCAAACAAGTGTGTGTTTCAACAACTTAAACGCCATCCAAAGATCTCGAGGGCCAGGCTCTCTAAACAGAGATTTCTCTTTAAAGAGCAATCAAGTTTGGCTGTTTTGCACACTGCACAGAGATGTCTAAGAAGGAGAGATCTGGTTGATCATAGTCATCATTTACTGGGTAAAATACCACAGAAATAGCCCTAGCAGTGGAACCCTCAGGCTCTGGGACATGGAATAAGTGACACGCTTGGGGCTCAGGCTTTTCATGTCTCCTTTCTCCCTGGAGGTTGTAGGTCATGCCTCTTGGAAGGAACTCAAATTAGAAGGTGATCCAGACACCAAGGGCAGCAGGGATTTCTATCTCTGATCCAGACCAAAGCAACTCCTCGGAAGCCCTGGGAAATGGCAGGGAGGCTGCCTCACATCTTGCCTTCCACCCCAGAACAGCCTGCTTATACTTCAAAGTCATTAAACTGTCATCTCCAACTCACACTCAGAACTGATAGAATCTTAGAATCTTTAACTGTTAGAGATACTGTTGTGTTCCTGCTTTTCCCTGTTCATCCACTTAAAAAAAATACTTTAATCAAGAGTCCTTTTAACAGGCTTTTAAATATACAAGATATTATGGTTGGCTACAGATACAATGTTATAAAGTAAATATCTTATGTCAAGAATTGGTCATCTCTAACTACATATTTTTGCAGGGTACAGATTGAACAGAGTCTTATTTTATGCCCAAGCTGGTCTATAACTCACTATACAGCTGAGGTTAACCTTACCCCAAAGTGATCCTCCTGCCTTAGCCCCCTAAGTGCTGGCATTATAGGCCTGTGCCACCATACATGTTTGTTTATTTTATTTTATTTTATTATTTTATTTTATTTTACTTTACTTTTTGGTCTTTTTGAGACAGGGTTTCCCTGTAGCCTGAGCTGGCCTGGAACTCACTATGTAGACCAGGCTAGCCATGAACTCAGAGACCCGCCTGCCTCTGGCTCTCAAGTGCTGGGACTACAGGCATGTGCCACCATGCCTGGCATGTTTATTTTTATTTAGGGTTTTTGTTTTGTTTTTTTTTTGAGATGGGGTGGTCTCATTATGTTGCTCAAACTGGCCTTGAACTCCTGTGCTCAAGTGATCCTTTCTCAGCCTCCCAAGTAGCTGAGATTCAGGCACACATCACTATCCCCTGCTAGTCAATGATGACCTCAAAGTTGACAAAAATAAACCATCCTCAGGCTGGAGAGATGGGTCAGTGGTTATGAGCACTTGGTGCTTTTGCAGAGAATCCAGGTCTGGTTCCCAGCACCCATATGGGTGGCTCACAACCACCTGTAACTCCAGCTCCAGGGGATCCAATGCCCTCTTCAGCCTCTGTGGGTACTGTAGTGCATTTGTGAAACATCCACAGGCAGAGACACAGAGATGTAATTTATAAAGGAAAGATAATTTGCAACAATTGCAACTCAATGTAAATTTTTTTACAGTTAAGATGGAATGAATTTATCTTGGAATTTGACAAGAAAAATGTTCTAAAATGAATCTAGAAAAATAAGCTGGTGTGATCAGCCAAGAAGACTTTGAAAGGGACAAACAACAGTGGCACAGGGGTAGCTGGGGTCATGTTTCCAGCTACAGACGTGCATAACTAGGCCTGAGCATGCCTCCCATACCCCTGGATCCTCAGTCCATTCCCATAGGGCCAACCCTTCTCAGAGCTGGTGATGCCACATCCATCCTTAGAGCCCTGCCTTTTTCCCACCTACCTAATCAAAGTCTGGCCACCTTCAAGAGCTTACTCTGGTTTCCGTTCTTTCAGGTAAACTCCAGTGACTTCAGTCTGCATTTGTCTCTGTTTATTCATCTCTCCTAATACTTTCAGCTGCGGGATCCCAGAGGTGTCCAGCATTCTTTAAGCCAAGGAAGTGAAGCAAGCAGGCGTCTGTCACCCAGTTAAGTAACAGCTGAAAGCTGGTTTGTTGTAAATAGCAACCTTGTCTTCTGTAGCCCCCAGGGGTCAGGGCACTGGCAGGGGCCATCAATCTGCTGACCAAGGCAGGCCTCTCTGACATATTTGTGTCAGTCACACTCATCTTGGCTCCACCTGTGTGCCTGGGCTTCCTCAGCCCAGGTCTGGGTGCATGGGAGCCGTGATGAGGGACCTGGGCAGAACTATGCCTGCATCCCAGCCTCAGTGCTTACCAACCTGTGATGCTGAGCAACTTGGGCCTCATAGAGCCTAGCGTGGATAAGAACAAAACCCGTTTCAGAACTTTTATGATGATAAAGTGTATGTGGCAGCATAGAGCTGTGCACAAAGTCCAGTGACTATCTTGCTACTGACAATCACCAGAGGAAGTTTCAGCTGTCCCCTATACTGGCAGTATTTCAGCTCCTGCCTGACTGCCTCCCCCCACTCCCCCTGTGGCTGGTTCCTGTAGCGTATGTGTCCGTGCTGGTTCTTGCGCCTGCTCCTAATGAGTTCACTCTCCGGCTGCACCTGTAGGGAGCTCTGTCCCTGCTTCTCTACCCAGCTGTGTCTGCCCAGGGATCCTTCCTACAGTGGTTAGTGTGAAAGCCCTGTGGAGACCGAGGATGGACCCAGCTCTGCAGAACCTACCAGCTGACCCTGGTGGAAGAGAGAAGGGAGTGAAGAGGGTGAGACAGAGGGAGCAGGAGGCATGCCCACTCTGCCTCCCAAGCCTCCTTAGAATCTTCTCTCTCCATTCTACCAGAGGCACATCCCCACCTCCACCTATCACCTGGACCACCCAATGAGTCTTGTCAGGTACCAATTTTGCCCTCCTCCATCCATCCACCCTGCACAGCTACTAGAATGTTCTTTTAAATCAGATCATGCCCTTCTTCAAGCTTTCGGGTAACTCTGCATCCCACTTAAATAAAACCCACCTACTTACTGCAGCGTGGGCCTCAGCTCCTCCATCCCTTCCCACATGCCTGTTGCTGTGTTGTTTTCCCTCCTGTGAGATGCCGTGCCCTTTGGCACCTCTGGCCCTTTACATGTAGTTGTGTTGAGCTCTGTGTTGAACCCTTTCCCTGGCACACCCTCACCCTGCAGTTCTTGGCCTGAATGCTGCCTCCTAACACTGGTGTTTCCGGAGCCTAAGGTGGCTCCGCTGGCCCCTCCCCTGTTTCACGGTGCCCCTTCTCCTCCTATTACCAATTATCACAACCTGAAACTACAGCATGTGTATGAATGCGTGCACATTTGTGTTAAGCTCAGCTTTGCTGGGGGCAAATGCCTGGGGGAGGAGATACCTCTCCAGAATAGGACTTCCACACACTGCACACCAGCTCCTTAGAGCAGCTCCTGGCTGGGGCATGCGCTAAAGAGTGAGTGCACACATAAGGGAAGGCCAGTCTCACCTGTCAGAGTGGACAACTGTGCCTGTTTTGGGGTCAATGACATGAACAATGACTCCACGGTGGCCCCAGCTCCTTTCAAAGAAATAGCCTCCCTCCTCCATGCCACCAGGATGAAGGGTCTTGTTCAGAAATGTCCAGGAGAGCTTTTTCTGTCCATGCAACTCAAGGGTGCCTCCTTTGCCCACTCCAATGTATTTCAGGCCATAGTATGGGTCTGGCTGGATGCCTTCGTCAGCCCTGCAAGAGAAAAACTCCGCAGCGTTGGTCGACACGTCTCTTCACTAGATACTGAAATTCTAGGGGACCACCACTGTTCCCTGACTCCCAGCGTGGCCTTAGGAAGCCAGCCATATTTTTGGTGATGGCATCAGGTCCATTAGCAAGCTGACTTCCCAAGGCGTAGCGACACGAGGCCCACAGGCCAGCAATCAGTGTTAGCACACAGTACACACTGCCACTTTCTCCAGGGCCATTTATGTCTCTGCCTTTATGGGCTGTGGAATCTCCTGTATCACCACTGAGTCCCTGTCTATACTTGAGTATTGTTGGTTACCACTTCAGTTGCTTAAAGATGGGGCACAGCCAGAAGCAAATGCTACACAGGATTTTTGTCTTCTTGTTCTGTTGCTCTTTTCTCCAAATGGAAGCCTTTCCTCTTGACGGAGCAGGGAGGCTCTTAAGACTCAGAAAGTGAAGAAAACTTGCAAGGCTTAGGGAACTTAGAACATTATGGATTCACAAGTCCCTCCCCAGGGCTACATGTAAGCTGTAAACAATAGCTGGGGAAGAGGAGACTCCCCAGTAGAGCTGGCTGCAAGTTGGCAGGAAACTCCAGGGATTCAACTTTCATGAGTCATTACCCAAGCTAGCATAGATTTTCAGTGATGTGCTGCCTTTGAGTTGCTCATGCTCTCGTAAGCAACCCAAGGAAACCCATAGGTTCACCTAACTATATCTCTGGTCTGTCACTGATGCCCTACTTGGAGTGAATAGATGTTTGTTCATTGAAATATTGTACACTTGGTCCCTTATAACACTAAGTAACCTCTTCCAGAGCCTGATTGGAAGGCAGTTTGAAAGAGTGGCAGGGACTTCTGTGATGCAGCTGCCTCATTCACAGTACTGTGAACAGAATGCCCTTACCCATTTCACTATACTTCTCATGTTCCTAGCTACAGTTTGGTGGGACACAGCGGTGGTTCCTGCCTTATGTAGAAGTCTAGACCTCTTGTCTCCCTCTCTCCTTTGGAAAAACCTCCCTCAAGAAGCACCTGACCCCTGAGCATGGTCTTCCCACCTTCCATACAGCACGATGCTGAAGTTGCCCTGGAAAGGGCAGAGGGCACTCCCAGCATGCAGCTCTCCACCATCATCAATCAGGATGTGCCGGGTGCGCAGCACGATGGGTTCATGGTGGTCTTTGATAACAAGCTTACCTGAAAAAGGAGGGATGGGGGAGGTTTGGGAAGGCAAGGGTCGAGGGTTAGGTTAGAGTAGAGCCAAAGGCAGTATTCCCAAGCCCTTTAGACAGGCACAAAGGCACATCTTCCAAGCACCTCTCTCTGCTCAGTCTTTTCTCCACCATCTACTTTGCAAAGTTATAAAATGGTTCACGTCCATTATTTCATGCTGTGTGCTCAATGTTCAAGCACGTAAAGGTAAGAGATGCAGGCCCCTCAGAGCACTAATAAGAGTCGCCATGCTCTTTTTTCTAAGATTGGACCCTTTTTTTGTTGTTGTTGTTGTTGTTGTTGTTTCGAGACAAGGTCTCACTTGGAGACCTGGAACTCTGTGTAGACCAGTTGGCCTCAAACTCACAGGATCTGCCTGCCTCTGCTTCCCGAGTGCTGGGATTAAAGGCCTGTACCACCACACCCTGGCCTTTGACAAACCACTCCTTAGTGCTCTGAGCTCATAGCTATCTCAAAATAACAGATGCTCTGACATGAGCCCAAAGCAGAAAACATCTCTTCTGTTCTGCTCGGCTCCTGGCCACCAATGTCATCTGAGGGGCTCAGAGTGATGGAGGGGACAGGAAGGCTTACCTCCCTCTGAGATGGTGATGGAGTAGACAGTGGCTGAGGAGGTAAGCAGTAATCTCCTGCCCTTGCCAATGTGTACTTGCTGGTTCTGGTCTTGGCCAGGGGTCCAAGGCTGCAGCTCGGGATTCTGGTCAGGACATTCAGCTGCCACTGCCAAAGATAATGACATGTCACTGTTCCCACCCACCAACATCACCAAGCAAGGATTAATGGGGCTTTTACATCTTCATGACACCTGTGTCTTCTCTTCTGGGGTTAAAAACAAGAGCTTGGGGATCAGAGAGATACTCTGATCTGGCAGTCAGGCACCCCAGGGTACAGACCCATGCCTTTCACAACTTCATTACATGCATCTGGATAGACTCTGTCCCTTCTTTGGTTCAATTCCCTTTGCAAGATGAAAGACGGCTCCAGTGACCACTCAGACCATCCCAAGGACTGAAGGAATGCTATAGTTGACCCAGAGTACTTGGATCCTAAGATATTCTGTCCTCTGAAAAGCAGTGTTTGAAGAGCTGACAAAACTCTTTCCTCATATGCATGATCTTTGGCTAATTTTTAAACTCTGTTACCCTGGAAACCCAAGAAAGATGATAGTAAGTAAACCATGTTAATAAGCAACATTGCCTACAACAAAAGTGACCTGTGATTAGCAATGATCTTTAAATTAGTCAGAGATACACATTATTATTATTTTGAGACAGTCTCACTATATAGTCCAGGCAAATCTTGAATTGAGCATCCTCCTGCCTCAACCCAAAGATTGCTGGGATTTTAAGTGTGTACCTCCAGGCCTAGCATAAATAATTTTCTTTCTGGTGGAGATGTCATGTTGTTGGATCCTCTGAGGGCTGTGACTCTTGTCATTGGCTATGTCCTTTGTCCCTTGAAAACATCCCCAGAGTGATGTATGTGGTGCTGTTATGAACAATACTGGCTCTGGTAGAGCCTAAGGCCACTAAGCCAGGGCAGTTCCTGCACTTGTCCAGGCCACAGCCTTATTTCTGCTCATGAGCTGTCCTTCAGGGAGCTGAGGAGGACAGCTTCTGGCAGGCTGTGTGGACTCCCCAAGGGAGGAAGCCACCTGCTGTTGCTCTGAGGGCAGGTTGTACATTTTGTCCAATACACCCCAAGGGAGTTTGATGCCATGTGTGGCGACCATATGGCCAGAGTGTTTAGTTGGACTGAAAAGTACCTGAGTTTTCACATGGTTCACTGGGCTTTACTCCAGTCTGTGCCTTGGAAGATGCAAGGAGGGGTGCACACTGTGCAGAACAAGAGGGTATCCAGAGGAAGAGGCCAAAGAACAGGCAGTGCAGCATGAGACTATCTCCCTTCTCTCAGCTAGTAGATTGTAAAGTGTGAAGCAGGAGACATCAAAGTAATCCAGCATGTGTGGGGAGGCAGAAGGTGAGGCTTAGGTGAGCCCATGCAGGGCAGGGGTTCAGATGGTGGACTCGGGCAGGTATCAGAAGGAATGGAAGCAAAGTCCAGAGTGAAGATGTGGCACAAGGAAGCTAGGGCTACTACCTCCCCTGAGCAAAGTGGGTACAGAAGCCACACCCCAACATGGGACCCGAACTAGCTCTGATTTAGCACCATGACTAACATGTTGGCTTTAAAGGGTACTTTATTTTTCTTCAGTTCTCCCTGGAGAAAAACGTTTCTGCCATAATTAGATTTCAAAAGGAGAGCCTGAAGGAGACATGCCCTCATCTACACTTAACAGCATCAGGTAGAGGCCACCTAGGCTGCCACTGAGCCCAGATCCTCTGTGTAGGTGTTGAGTCTGGTTCTCCATTCTCTCTCCCAAGTGCACAGCAGCCACTTTTGGCTCCATCTGCCTTGACATTGGTCAGAACTCAGGGTTCAGGTGTCAGTAAGATGAGAATTCCATATTTGTGAGGGTTTCAGTAATACAGTACTTCCAACTACTGTGGCCCCCCAAGAAGCTCCTCCAAGTACTGTGCCCCCCAAGGGGCTCCAGTGATAACATTATAAACAGATACAGGCTTATAGACTTTCCCATTGGCTGGAAAGAAGAGGGGCTTCCTGTTGGGGAGCGGCGGGTGTGGGGGGAGCTCCCTGCCTCAGGATAGAGTGGTCAAGGTTGCCCTGAGAGCTGGGTGCTGGAAACTACCCCTTGGTTTGTCTCCAGACACGGCAGTCAAGGGGCTTGGGAGCTCTTATACCTGGTCCTAGATGTGGGAGTCTCAGAGGGTGAGCGAGGGGGGAACATACTGCCTGGGGTGCCCAGTGGTCCATACCAAGAGCCCCCTGGGAAGGAAAGGTTCCTATTGTCTAGATAGTACCTCAGGTCTCTCACAGCCTCACTGCCAGACCAAGCCCCACAGCCCCTTTCCCTGTCCAAGCAGAGGACTTTGCAGCAGACTTTGTATCTGGGCTTGGTGGTGGCAGGTCTGACCCTGTAAGGGCTGACCATCATCAAGAGTATGATCCCATCTCTCCAGAGACTCAGACCCTATGGTTAAGACATGGTGGTTCTGTGACTGGCCTTGGTGAACCCTCTTCTGTGACCGGCACCATGACAACCACGGTGAGTTCCCTGACTGGGGCAAAGACCCATGAGGCAGACAGAGAGGGGATCAGGCTATAGTTACTCCAAACATGAAAGGCAAAGGTAGAGTTTCACTTCCCTCAGGTGTCAAAGAGCCCAGACCAGAGGGCACTTGAGGTTCAGCTTCTCTTCTAGAGGGTTTCAGTGCAAACCAGGATGTGGTTGGAAACACCCAGGAAGTACCTGGGTACCCTTCCTCAAGCTGGATCACCCTAAATGATAAGCCCAAATGCATACCTGGCCTAGAGTCAACACTTCCTTTGGGTTAATTAATTGAGTGAGTGAGTGAATGCATTCAGGCAGTGCCATCAATCACTGCACTGAATGCTAACAGATTGCCTGCTCATGATGTCACCTAACCATTGGGGAGATTCTGTAAAAAGTCGCAGTGAAGGCCTTTCACTCACAGGACACAGAACACTTCCTCTGTTTGGAAAAACAAAATGTAATTCATTCAAGTTTCTTTATTCTCATTATGGGAAAAGCACAGGTCACAATAGCTTTTGCAAGGAGAGCAATAATTTGGATAATAGAATTACTAAAACCCTGTTCAAATTCTAAGATTGGGTTCTGTCTTCCCCAGGTCCAGCCTCAGGTTCCAGTTACTTGATGGCTGTTTCCCAGAGTCTGAGTGAACATGCCTTGAGCTTCTGATGTTAATTTAAAATCACTTAAAGATCACTTTCCTGGCACCACAAGAAAAAATAAGTACAAGATAAAATCACTTAAAGAAATGTTAACAGCGCCAAGATAGTAAAATAGGTCTGAGTAAGGCACTGAGGCACAGGCCTGTAATCCCAGCACTTGCGAGGTTAAGACATGAAGACTGCAAGTTTAAGACCACCCTGGGTAATACAGAGAGACAGCATCTCGAAAACAAACAAGCAGAAACAAAACAGAAAAAGAAAAACAACATCTAGCCCTTATCCAGAGCTTTGCAGCTGAAAAGGGCTTTGAGGGGCCCAGATCCGATGACTCAAAGCAGGAAGGGGTTACCAGCTCTGAGTAGCCCAGACAGAGGTGGAGAGCTGGACTTAGATACATAGGCTGCCCCCCTGCTCCCCACCCCATCTGCCCCTGACTCTCTAGAGGGTAGTTTTAAAATTTTGACTAGCATTTAAAATGGGTTTCTTTCTCTTTTTTTTCTTTTTCTTTTCTTTTCTTTTCTTCCTTCCTTCCTTTCTTTCTTTCTATCTTTCTCTCTCTTTCTCTCTTTCTCTCTTTTATTCATTTGTTGGAGACAGGGTCTTTCACTATGTACCCCCAACTAGCCTGAAATTCACTGTGCAGACCAGACTGGCCTTGAACTCACAGAGATTTGCCTGCCTCTGTCTCTGGAGTGCTGGGATTAAAGGCGTGCACCACAGCCATGCCTGGCTTTAAAAACAACCACAATGAATATTTCTATAAAAATCCAAATTTCTGGTTTCTTTTAAAAACCCAAAATGTTAGAGCAGGCAGACACCCTTCTCACAGGGTAACAACTGTCCAGAACTGAGAGATGGGCACTCCATTAGGGGACTCTCAGCTCGAAGGGAGACCGCAGTGTACTCTCCCTTCTCTCTCAACCAACTTTACTTGCTCAGGGTGGTGGAGCTTGGGTAGACGCTGAGCTTGCAACCTAGATTCTAAACCAGCCCGTCATTTCCTAATGAAACCCAAGGGCAGGCTGAGGCTTGCCTGGAACCAAGGAGTTCAGGAGACTCCCTGCCGTCCCCTTCCTAGCAGCCTAGCTGAGATGGATGTCTAGTGTTTTGTAGGGGCTCACCTGCAGATGTGGCCCCCGGGAAGCCAGCCAGGAGGAGCCAGCCCACAGTCACCACAGCCTTGAGGGAGGTGCTGAGCCTCCTAGTAGCTCTCATTCGGACAGTGTGCTCCCTGAAATAGAAGCACATGGAATCAGATGTGTGGTATAGCAGTGAGTGCCAACATGAAACAGTCACCCAACAAATGGACAGGGCTGTGTTGGGAGGGCACACCCCACTGGCCCCGTACAGAGCACTCTCCAGAGGCTTCCTCAGCCACCATGACTCAGGGCTGGGCAGATCTGGGCATGCCAACCATGTTATCATTCTGCCCTGTCCTCTAGCTCAGAGCCAAGTGACTCTTATAGGATGGAGCTTTTTTTTGTCTTAAGTCAAGAAAAGGAACTGAACATAAGCTGGGATAATTCAATGCCATCAACTTGCTGTATGACCTCAGCTGACTTGTCAACCTCTCTGGGCCTCAGTTTCATAATATGTAAAACAAGAGTACAGACTGGCTGATTTATAACTTGACATTGTCAGTCCATGCTGATAATCTGTTTTCTTCCTTTCTTCCTCTTTCTTGCTGGTAAGGCTGCAGATGTGATGGCTGGCCCTTCAGTGACTCTCTTGGGCCATGTAGTAGGAGCCGAGCACTGAAAAGAGCAAATCAAATAGAAAAGAAACCTAGATCTCTGGGTCAAGCAGAAATAACTCTGGATGGTGGCTTTTCTTTCTTCTTGCTAACTTTTATTTATTTATTCTAAGAAAAGGTCCCATGATGTCTCCCTGGCTGGCCTGGAACTCTCTATATAGATCAGGCTGGCCTGGAACTTACAGAGATCTACCGCCTCTGCCTCCTAAGTGCTGAGAGTAAAGGTGTGCGCCACCATGCCTGGCCAATAGATTTATTTTTATGTCAAGGGAGAATTAACTTTCTATTTTATTAAACTTCTATTTTGTAAAAGTCAGTGTTATTTTTTCCACCATTTACACACATAGAAGGTGAATATGGGACTTTTTCTAGAAAAACCTCAGGACAGGCATGAGATTTCCCTTTCAGAATACAATAATTTACAGGGTGTCTTTGTGCTCAGAGATAGCTGAGGAGAGGAGATGACCCTGGTTTCTGGGCCATCTCCCCATGTCCTTCCCACTAGGCCTGTGTTTGTGCTCAGAAACAAGCAGACCTTCTCCTAAGAAAGGGGATGGCAAGGCCCCACCTCTCAAGCCAGCTCAAGGTTAATCTGATGCCCCTGAGCCCAGGTTCAGGGTTCAGAGAAGCTCTTTGTGTGAGCTCAGTGAGCCAAGGCGGAAATCTGCACAGGTGGGTGGGTCAGGAGGCGCCTAGCCAGAGAGGAAGCATCAGCTCAAAGCCTGAGTCTCCTCTTCCCGCTACCCTGTCGGCCCAGGTGGGCTCTACCAGAACAAGGGGCCATTTGTTTCCCAGCATCTGTGAGGGCCTTTCCCATGGCCCCCAGAGAACAGCACTCCATTCCTGCACTCTGAGATGGAAGGGGGAACAGCAGGGGCAGGGGTGCTCCAAGGCCTCAGGGGATAGCCACTGGGCTCTTCTCAGGTCTCAGTAGGCTTAGGAAAACCAAAAGCAGTTGACCAGAGGCTGCCAAACGCTGCAGCCTCACTGGGTCACTCCGGAAGGCTGCTGGACCTGGGTGACTAGCACCCTCACTTTGTTGTAGAGTCTGGTGTGGGGGCCACGTGAGAGGAGGGGACGCTCCCTGGTCTGAACTTGTAACCACCCTCATCAAGTCATTTTCTGGAGTGCTTCACACTTCCCAGGTCACTATGTCAGAGTCAAAGGTTGCCTCAAAGATAAAACCATTTCATTTTCTAGGCAGATGCAGGAACCCTTCCATAGAAGGAAGTGACGCCTTTGCTCTTCTCTGATGTTTGGAGCCACAGGAGGTGGAGCAGTTCCCAGGACAGTGACCCCAACTGGCTACCGAAGCTCTGGCAAGAGGTTCAGCTTCTTGGGTGATGGGACAGGCTTGAAGGAGGTTCTGATCATAGCCTCAGAGGAACATGCTGGGAACCATACTGAAGATCTTCTCTGGTAGGAGGCAGATGCAGGCCAGCTGCCCTTCTAGCTTCATGGTTTCCAGGTCCCCAGGGCCAAGGAGATGTAGGAGTCAATGGAGGAGTAAGAGGTATCATCAACTGCCAAGTGCAGGGTCTTTGCTCCCCTCCACATGTCCTGGGGTGCTGTGTTGTCACCTGCAGAGCAAACAGAGTTACAAGAGGCCTCAGAGGGGTCCAGAGCAATGGCACTTATGGGTGCACTTGTACTCTGTGGCTTCCCAGCCCCAGGGACAGGAATTCTTGCTACCCCAGAGGCTGCAGAAGCCACCACTTTCTACAGGGATTTCATAAGGCAAGTGAGGAAAGGCAGGGAAAAGGATTAGCCAAAGCCAAGGGGACCAGAGTGGGCCAGAGCATGTTTTTTTTGGGGGGGGGTACACAGCAGGGGTGCATCAACCTCCTTGTTGCTCAGGTAAACCCTAGGCAAGACCCAGCTCAGAGACCAGGGAGACAGTGTGGTAGCCAGGAGTCTGGGTGCCAGAGCCTTCAGTCCCAGCGACATACTTTATCCTGAGAGCCAGAAAACTGAAATGATAAACTGCCAAACTCTAGGGATGTCATGAGAAGCCAAACAGAGGTGGGCCATAAAGACAGGACAGTGCTGGGTCTGATCTGAAGTCAGAATGGAAGCAGTGGGAGCCACCAGCATGCAGCAAGGATGCTCAGTAACCTGGGAGCAAGGCTCATGGTTTGGATGGAGTCTAAGAACCTGGGCTTGAGTTCCACTTCTGGCTCTCAGCAGCTGTATAGGGTCAAGCAGGGCACTCATTCTCTCAGTGCCTTGGTCTTCTTGTTAAAATGGGAATTCACAATCAGGACTTACTGTTGTGAGGGGTGATTTCCACACAGCCCCTGATATGTCCCCCAAAGAAACGTGCTCTGGCTCACTCTGGGCCCCTCGGCTTCTGCTGACAATTTTCCCCATCTTTCTTCACTTCCCAAAGCTCAAAAAGTACCAGTTCATGAGGCCAGTGAGATGGCTCAGCAGATAAAAGCTTTTATCACAAAAGCTTGATGACCTGAGTTTAGTCTCCAGACTGAGACTTTTCTTGATGGCCAAAGAACTATCCCAGTGGCTACCAGAAATTATGGCAAAACTGGAAAGCAGGGCCTAGAGATCTTGTCTCTATGACAGAAAGTTCTTCAAACAGATGACAAAGCAGATACCTTCTCTAACATGACCCAGATGATGGGAAGTTGTCCCCTTGGCCTATGTATTGTCTGCACCTAGCTCTCCCCTGCCAGAGCCAAGTATCTCTCTAGTCACCTGGTCCAGTAGCAACACCTCAAGGAAGAAGGAGGCAGGAGACTGGTAGACTGAGCCCTGCTCAGAATCACAGGCAGACAGTTGGAAATTGCAACCTTAGGAAGCCTCCTTGGTCCTAAGCTCCCTTTTGACCTTTTCAGAATGCTCCATCAGCACAGTTTACCTTGATGGACTACGTGAAACATCTGTGCCAGGGATAACAGGTACACATAGACTGTCTCTGATGCTGGGCATCCCCCAGGCTGCTCCATAAAGCTTACCTTTCAGGCATGAGCCACCCCTTCCCTCCCTGTGCACCTGCTGAGACCTGCCTCATCACTGCCAAGCCCCAGTGGTACTCCCAAGTTGAGCTGTTCCCCCAGGAACCAGACTTCTCGTTTCTGAGACGAAATTTGTGCCCTGCCAATTCATCTCTGGCCCACAGAATACTGGTGGGACTGCGACACCTATCCCAGCTCCATGTCCCTGTGTACAGCAGTTACCAAGGCAACTTCAGCATGAGTAGATTCTCATCAACAGGTCTAAGGGAGGATCTCATTTTGTATTTCCAAATGCTGGAATGACCAGTATGTGCCATCACATCCAGCTCATTTTTGTTTGGTTGGTTGCTTTGTTAAGTTTTTTTTTTTTTTTTTTAAAGAAACAGATCTATGTGGCCCGGTTCAGCCTTGAAATCATGATCCTGCCTTAGCCTTCTGAGTGCTGGGATGACAGATATGTGCCATATGCCTGGCTCTGATTCTGCCTCTCTTTCTAACAAACTTCCAGGTGAGGGGGACTGTATTCTGAGCACCAAGGATCTAGTTTAATACCATTGTTTCCATTCTATAGGTGGACAAATCAAGACCCACAGAGTAGAAGGGAGTTGCTTGGATTGATTAGGAGCCGGTAAACAGAAGCTTGACCCAGTGTCTAATCGGGACTCTTTGCCCAGATTATGAGACACCCACCGCCTTCCTTGTCATCTACTTGCTCAGGGGAGAGGGGGAGCAGAAACTGCGTCCGTCCCTTCCTGCCTGTTTCACTTTATTATGGTTTGGATGGTAAACACATGCCTCAGGTGCCCTATAGAGGTTCAGAGAGTTGTATTTTTCCTTCCCCCAGAGACACCTCCTTTGATCTGGGAAATTCCCACTGCAGTCACCTGTAGAGGCCAGGATGAGATGCTGTGCATGTGCTGTAACAGCAGGAAGCCCAACACTAGTCACCCCACACCCAATCCCAGCAGCAGAGCCCTGTCTGATCCTCTGCACCATCAGCTCCCGATATCCCTATCACCCCACCATCGGCCTTGGGTCCAAGACTTCCCAGCCTTTGCCAATGCAGCTGGGGAGGGACAGTCCTGGGACCATGTCATCTTTACATAGTCAACACTCCTGACCTCAGTGTCCCCAGGATACTGTGCTGCTGTGAAGAGAAGGAAGTCAGACCTATGTCTTCAGGGACCCCTGTCCCATCACACTAGGCAAAAGGCCTATTAACCAAAACGGACACCTCCATCTGGCAAACCAGATATTTTCCAGTGAGAGTCAACTCTTAGTTACCCACCAAAGCACAATTCACTTTCTTGTTTAGGGCTTGGTTCTCCAGTGCAGTACCCACTACCACACACAGATAACTTAAAGTGAGCTAAAATAAAAATTCATATTCTTTTTGTGTGTACATGTATATGTGAACATGTGTGTTCCTCTTTATGTGTATATACACTCATGTGCATGTGAAGGCTAGAGAACAGTCCCAGTTGTCACTCCCCAAATGCTCCCCAC